GGCACCTGTTGTCAGTTGTTTTTCATTAAATACTTGTGTGTTGGTTTGTGAAACATATTTATTTGTGGATTTCTCCGTGGCAATAAAATTAGTTGAAGGAGACGCAGCAGGGTGGGGGGTTATAATCAAGCTTTCCAGATACTTAAGATAAATATTTTTATTGCAGTATCTTTATCTTAATTTTGTGGTTTGCATTGTGTTGTAATGGTTTACAAAAATAAAGACACTGTAAACTTAGTATTTATTTCTTGGTATTAATAAACAAGAGGAAAGCTGAAATAGTTCCTGTTGCTGTGCTTTGTTCTTGAAATTTCTTTAATGTAATAGTATATGCCATTGCTCAAAACATTCATCTTCTGTAAGCCAGGGCTCTGTGCTAGCAACACCCCAGTGGAAAGGAGGTACTCCCTACATTGGCCTTAAAACGGCCAAGGGAGGCTCCGCCCAAAGAGGGTACCTTTTTCAGGCTTCAGGTATATGAAAGGGTAGGGATTTCACTAGTTGAATTTATGAAAGGGAAGGGAAATCTGTCATTAGTGTCTATTCAAAGGCCCAAAAGAACTGCCCAACAGATGTATTTTGTGGCTATGGTTGAATTAAAGGTAAAGGTACACATGAGTCAAAGACCCAAACAGCTGGAGCTTATCGCGGTTTCCTTGGCATGAAGCATGCCTAGGAGTATTGCTACTCCTCCCTGGACGGGATACCAGTCCATCGCAGGGTTACCCCCGGCCAGTATGTCACTGGTACCCATTTATACACTTGGGTGAAGAAAGACAACAAGGAGTAGAGTTCCTTGTCTAAGGAAACAACGCAATGAGCGGGGCTTGAACCCCGTATCTCCAGATCCGGAGTTGGGGGTGTTAACCGCTGAGCCACACAACATGCCTCCTTATGGCTATGGAAAGTTGGAAAAACATCCAGGTTTTGTGAGTTATTCATATTTAAAGGACAGTGAATTTCCAGCAGTTAAAAGGGATGCATTGTTGTAAACTAGGCTTGTGAAAGGGGTACCATTTGTCAATAGAGGTTGTACAAAAGGGGTACCTACAAGGTACTCTGTCAAAAATGGTATTAAATTTGGTTGAGTCTGGCCCGCTGGGGCCTTTATTGTACAGGTTCAGAGCTTTAAAAGCACAAACTTGTAAGATTTAGCTCTTCAAAGTAAATGACTCTATCAACTTCTTTTATGAACCAAAAAATCACCAGCCCTCTTGAACCAACAGTTTTTGGCCAGGAACTATGATAATAATTATTTAATTATTAATTATTTATTCATCCATTGTTTTTCTCTAAAGCAGTATTACAATCATTACAACTTTTTTGGTTGGGTCACAACAACATATTGATCAAATAATTGTCTTTCCAAGAGTCAGTGAGTGTTCCATCCACATGACTGATTAAGCAGTGCCTATGTAAGAGCAGGTTTTTCCAGCTTTTTTTATAATTTCCAACAACTCGTCAGGAGACAGAGCAGATGTTACATACACTCTCTGTTTTTCCATGTCAATTTCAATGTTGTCAATACCCCCTGGTAAAAAAAAGAGAAGATTACAAGTAACAATAACGAGAACTCTGTTATTTGTCCTCGGTAGAATTTATAGCGTTAATGCTAATGGGGCTGAGCAAATGCATGAAACAAAATAATAATCTAAATCAAACATAACAGCATTAAGAATCCCAAGTGGCTGGAGGGAAACCAGCTATTTACAAGCATGGCTGAGGATTTAAAATCGGGACTACCCTGAACAAATTCAGCTAGTGGTCAGAATGAGACTTGAACTTGGGGCGTCTGAATTGCAACTTCGGTGGTCTAACCACTCGGCCG